GTCTTTTACTTTAAGCGTGATGTTAGCTGAAGATTTTGCACAGCTGCCCTTTGGGTTTGAGGAAATTCCCCTCCATGCCTAGTTTTTGGAGAGTTTTTACCAGGAATGAATATTGAATTTTCTAGATATCTTTTCTGTGTCTACTGAGATAATCCTCTCCCCTCCTCCCCCATTACTCCTTTAGTTGTGGTTTTATTGCCATTCAGTTTATCATTTCCCTTTTGATTCATTTTTTTATTCATAGTTATTTAAAATGTATTGTTTAGTCCTTAAACATTTGGAGTATTTTCCAGAGATTTACTGTTATTGATTTCTAGTTTAGTTCCATGCTGGCAAAGAACATGTTTTGTATGACTTGAATCCTTTAAAATAATGTGAGACTTGTTTTATACCAGAATATGGTCTACATGGGAAATGTTTCATATGCACTTGGGAAGAATATGAACATGGCTGTTGGGATTGGGATATTCTCTAAATTTCTATTCAATCAAGTTAGTTGATAGTGTTGTTCAAATCTTCTATATCCTCAATCAGTGTCTGTCAATTATTGAGAAAAAAAGTCTTTGTAAACTTTGTAATTGTGGATTTGTCAATTTCTTCTTGTAGTTATAACAATTTTTGCTTCAAATATTTTGAAATTCTGTTATTAAGTACATGACCATTTAGGAATATTATGTCCTCTTGATCAATAGACCTTTTAATCATTATAAAACGGCTATATCGGTGCCTGGTATGAAGTCTACTTTGTTTGAAATTAATATATCCACTCCATTAACATATTATATATTTTCCATCCTTTTACTTTAATATATTTGTGTCCTTATTTTGTAGGTGAGTTTTGAAGTAACAAGTTATCTTGAGTTTTTATCCAGTCTAACAATGTCTGCATTTTAGTGGATTATTCAGGTCATTAATGTGATTATTTATTTGGTTAAATTTAAATCTGCCACATTGCCAGATGTTTTATATTTGTGTAACCTGTTCTTTTTTCCTTCTTTCCTACTTTTTCTGGCTTCCTGCTGATTAATTGAATATTCTTATGATTCAATTTTATGGTTTTTGTTGGCTTATCAGCTATAACCCTTTCCTTTATTACATTGATGTTTGTTTCTCGCATTGAGCTCCATCATGCCATATGGAAAGTATATTATTATCCACTCTATTTATAGTATCAGGAACCCATATAGTTACTATTCCCTGTATCCTTCTTACTTTGAGTAGATCCATTTTTCTGTCTGATATTATTTTCCTTTCGCTTGAAGTACTACTACTGTTAACATTTCCTGCAGAGTAGCCAGCTGGTAATGAATTTTTTCCTCTTTGGGATATCTGAAAAAGTGTTTATTTCACCTCCATATTTGAAATATTTTTTTGCTAAGTACAGAATTCTAGGTTGACAGGTGTTTTGATTCCATACTTTATAAACCTTGTGCCTCTGTTTCTCTCTCGCATTGTTTTCAACAAGAAATCTGCTGTCTTTCTTATATTTGTTCTTCTGTATGTAACATGTCCTTTTTCTCTGGCTGCTTCTTAGATGTTCTCTTTTTTTCTTTTTTCTTTTTTAATTGACAAAATTATACATATGTATCCTGTACCACATGATGTTTTAAAATATATATACATTGTGGAATGGCTAAAGTGAGCTAATAGATTGCACTATTAGCATATATGTTACCTCTCATAGTTATCATTTGTGTGGTGAGAACACTTACAATCTACTTTCTTAGCATTTTTCAAGAATGCAATATGTTGTTTTTAACTGCAGTCACCATGTTATACAATAGATACCTTGAACTTATTCCTTCTTTGCAACCAAAATTCCATATCCTTTGACCAATATCTCCCCAATTGCCCTCTCCCCCAACCACCTCAGCCCCTGGTATCCACCCTTCTACTCTCTACCTTATACATTCAACTTTTTTAGGTTCCATATACAAGTGAGATCATGTGAAAATCAACAAATAAAGTGAAAATATTCCAAACCGTACATGGAATAAAGGGTTAATATACAAAATATAGACAGAATTCGCACAGCTCAATAACAAGAAAACAAGTAACACAATTAAAAAGTGGGCAAAGGACCTGAACAGATATTTCTCAAAAGAAGATTTCTGTACTGATAATCTGTTTAAAAAAAAGAAGATATAATAAATATATATATGTATATATATAATATAATATATAATATAACAGGGGTATAAAAACTGTTCAGCATCACTGATTATCAGGGTAATGGAAATTACAACCACAACGAGATATCACTTTGCAGGTAGAATTTTGGTTAGAAATTTTGGCTATTATCAAGAAGATGTAAGATAATCAGTGTGTGAGACGCAGGAAAAAAAGAAAAGAGAACAGGTAACACAGTGTTGGCGGGAATGTAAATCAGTACAGTAATTATGGAAACAGTCTAGAGGTTCCTGAAAGAATTAAAAATAGAACTACCCCATGGCACTGGGGATAGTAATCCCACTACTGGCTGTACGTCGGAAGCAGATGAAGTCAGCGCGTTGCAGAGATGTCTGTACTCCCGCGTTTACTGTGGCTTCATTCGCAGTTGCCAAGATGCTGAATCAACTTAAGTGTCCCTCACTGGGTGAGTGGATAAAGAAAATGTGATACCCGTGCAGCGGGACACTGTTCAGCCATAGGAAAAGGGGAAATCTTGTCATTTGCAACAACGCGGATGAACTTGCAAAACATTATGTTAAATGAAGTCAGTCAGGCACAGAAAGATTTCCCTCTTTATCGGTGGTTTGTGCAAACCGCCTATGAGGGGGTTTGGTGTAGTTTTCTTCATGTTTCTTGTGCTTGGGGCTCTTTGAGCTTCCTGGAGCTGTGCATTTGCACTTTCCTTTAAATTTGGAAATATTTCAGCTGTTATTTCTTCAAAATTTTTTTTTTTTTTTTTACTCCTTACCCTTGAGGACTCCATTTACACATCGCTTGCAGTTATATCGCAGCTTCATGATGTGCTGTTTACTTTTAAAATTATTTTCCTCTCTCTTTCCTTTTAAATAGTTTGGATTGCTGTCTTCAAATCCACTAATCTGTTCTGCAATATATACTCTTGCCATTAACCCCATTAGTGTAGTTTCCACCTCACCCATTATACTTTTTATCTCTAGAATTTCAGTTTGGGTCTTTTTATGTCTTCCATGTCTTTACTTAGCTTTGCAAACATATAGACTAGTGTTTGAATGACTTAAAATGTCTTTGTCATTGTATGCCGATTCTAACATCTGCATTAGTCCTGGATGGGTCTCGATTGATTGATTTATGTCCTCTCCTGTTGCAGTTTCCTGCTTTGCAGCGTTGTTGGTGATTTGTGCTTGGTGGTCAGACAGCATGCATTTTCTTTGTTGAATGCTGGATATGCTTGAATTTATGTAAACATTCTTGAGCTTTGTTCCAGGCTACAGTTAATTCACTTGGAAGCAGTTTGATCCTTTGGGGTCTTGCTTGTTGAGGTGTTTCGGGTGGCACCAGAGCAGAAGGAATCCAGGGCACATCGTCCCCACGCCCCAGGCAAGCCCCAGATTCAGTTCTCTGCCCGTCGCCTCCTGAGCCTGGAGTTTTATCTTCCGGATTCTGGGAACAGACGCTACTCCCAGCCCTCCGTGCACAATCGGGACTGTCACGTCCAGTTCTTCTGGGTGGTTCCTCCTCTGGCCAGAGGTGGTTTTTCACATGCACTGCTCAGCGCTCGGCTGAACGCTGCGGGGGCCCGGACAGGTCCCCAGTCCTCCCTCCGGCCGGGTCTGTCTCACTCGCTGCCCTGTCGGTGGTCACCGGCCACCTTTGCCCCCAGACTCCAGCGCCGTCTCTCCAACCCAGAGGTTCCACCAGCCTCCACCTGGCTTCCTTCTCCCTGCACTGCAGCCTGGAACACGGGGGTCCTGCCTGGGGACACCGGGCCCCCCCCACCCCCATCCCGAGGTGCCGAGATGTGAGGCCACTGCCGGGTGGCCAGCTCCACGGATTCCTCCCAGGTTGCATCTTTGAGGTCCTTGTTGAAAGCACCGTTTACTCAGGACGGTTTTAGAGAAATTGCGAAGACGGTGCAGAGAGTTCCCGCAGATGTGACGCTGGTGTCCCTGCTTAACTAAGTCTTACGTAGACGCGGCGCACTTGCCGTTGTGTCGGTTGTGTTGTTATGTTATTCTATTGCATTACTATGACCGTTTTGCAAGCTACACCCAGACTTTCTTCAGATTCCCTTAGTTTTAGCCTAATGCCCTTTCTCTTCTTGTCTCTGTCTCTGTCCAGGGTCCCAGCCAGGACACCGTGTGACGTCGGGTCATCCTGTCTCCTTTCGTTCCTCCCGGCTCTGCGTTTTCCCTGTTTGCTCCTGCTGACCTGAGCCGCTCGGGACAGCGTTGTCATCAGGGTCTGCAGGGCGCCCCACCGGCGGGGTCTCTCTACTCCTTTTCTCAATGGCGGGTGGGTTTATGGGTCCTCAGGAGTAAGACCGCCGCGGGGAAGTGCCGTGGTCATCTCAGCGCCACGAGGCAGCGTGGTCAGCATGACCTGTCACCGCTGACCTGTCCACCGAGAGCTCACAGCCCTTGCCCGGCAGTCCCGGCCCGAGCCCCGGAGCCAGAGTGGCTGCAAATTATTCGGAATTTTTCTGCCTGGGAGAGTTGTCTCTTCTCCCTATTTATTTATTTATTCAGTCATTAATTTAAATGAGTATAGATTCCTGGAAATATGCTCAGGGTTACAATCTAATACTAAGCCGTGTGTTATGTGGCTCAAAGGGATCCTGGCTGGCCGTTGGCCCTGCTCTCAGGGGTCTCCTGTCCCTTCGACATGGCCCCGTCACAGCCCCGTGTTCCTTTTTCAGATTTATTGTCCGAAAACTATGTTTTCATCCATACATCCGCCTGTCTGCGAATCGGAGCAGCTGGGGTGACAGGGGGTGACCCTGAGGACAGACAGCCTGAGTCAGGGAAAAGCACCACCCCGTGGTTGCCTGAGAGCCAGGTCGCCTGTCATAGGTGGAATTGTATTTCCTGCTGGGTCTCTTTTTCGACACAGTGAAAAGAGCCCCCAGAGCTGGTCACCTACAGGCCGGGTCAGGCCGGGGACTGGCCCACTCTCCCAGCCCCCGCTCTCGGACGCGGTCCTTGGATGAGGGTCCCCAGGACTGGAGCCGTCGTGGGTCCAGGGGAAGGGCCTCGGCCCCACCCGAGAGGGCAGAAGAGGTGCGTTGGCAGCCGGGGTCCCTCTCCCACCAGGGCTGCTGTCTGCTTTGGGCGTTGGCTCCCGGTGAGGTTGCACTTGCAGGACAGTTTGCGGCAGAATCTCGGGGCGTCTCCCGGAGTCTGTCCGGGGCTCTCTGCCCGGGACGCCTGCCCTCCTGCTGCCCAGCCCCGGCTGCCGACCTCTGGCCCGACAGCATCCTCCCCTGGGGAGCTGCCCCCCACTTCCCTTGCCCGTGTGCTTGGGGTGCAGCGAGCCCGTCCTCCAACTCCAGAGTCTGTGGGACTCACAGGCCAGCAGCCGGAGACCGGATCCCGCACAAGCCAGTTCCAGGGCTTTTGCAGAAATCGCTGGTGTCCGCTTGCTCACTGCGTGGGACAGGAGCCCGGGGCTGCCAGGCAGGTGCCACGCACAAGGACACAGCTGAGGGTGGCGTGACCTCAGAGCCAGAGGTGAGGGAACGGAGTGACCACAGATGACACCGGTCACCCCGGGTCCCTAAGGCCGGACCTGTCCCTTTAGGATGCACCTCTTTTATGTTTCATTTTAGCATCTCTGCAACCCACAGTGCCTATCCCTGGCGACGTTGCCACGTGTGCACAGCTGCGGGAGGCGTCCCGCAGGGGTGAGTGACCACCGGGCCTGCAGGGCGTCCCGCCAGACCAGTGACCATCAGGGCAGACGCACCCCTGGGCCCTGCACCAGCCCCGCCACCTCCGAGCCCAGGCCCCGGGGCACGTTCCCGGGAGACTCCGTTTCACGTCTGGGACGTTGGGGCCGGGAGATTTATGGGCTGGCGCTTTTTTCACGGGAGCTGTCTTTTGAATTATCGTGTAATTAAGATGCTAATGGCTGTTTATAGAAGCTTCTCTTCTCCGTCCAACTGCTCTCTGAATAATAAGGAACGTCCCCTTTGTTAGGGTGGAAAACAGCATTGAGACCAAAATCCTTCATTAAATCACTGTTTGCATCCTTTTTCTTTCCCCCTTCTACCAAAAAGGAATTTACTCATGCTCATTAATTTTTCGTTGTGTGGATGAATTGTAGGGAATTCTTCTGATAAAAGGATAAACACCTTCATTCCTCGTTGGGGCAGTGGAGGGTCCCCTCGGAGAACAGCTGCTCACTCAACCTCTTTACAGGAAAACAAAAGAAGCTTCAGGAACCTCATTCACAAAAGCATTTCGGGGGCTGTCCGGGGTCTCGGGGAGGTCTTCCGGTGGCCCGTGGCCTGGGCATCATCCACGGGACCCGCGGGGTCTGAAGGCTGCACTCCGGGGAGCCCGTCCCCCTCGCTTTCCAGACGGGGGCCGGGGCCAGTGCCACGGAGCAGGCTGTCCAAGGTGACCCGGCACGGCGCTGGCAGGCCTGGGACGGGAGCCAGGTCCCATCTCCGCTGCTTTGCCGCAGCCTGGAACGGCTGCCACGTTCAGTTACAGTCAAAGCGGGCGCCTCCCGTCCCTTTGCAAGTCCTTCCCTTGGGCCGCTTCCGGGCCGAAGCCCACCCTGCGGGCCAGGCAGCCCGTGACACACCAGTAGGGCGCTTGGACAGTTGAGCGTGACAACCCACAGGCCTGATGACAGGTGTGCGCAGAGCAGGACGAAACCCCGGTTGCTGCTGCTATGGTGGCCCCACCCCCCACCCCATCGTCACAGCAAGGGGCCGCCCGGCTCCCTGGGAAGGAAGGCAGCGCTGCCTACGCCGTCACCAGGTGGCCCAGACACAGGGACCCTCTGAACTTCCCTGCTCACAGTCTTGGGCTCCGTGCTGCACGGCCCCTCCAGGATTCCAGGGTTCGGGGACGTCTGGGCTTCAAAATGGCCGTGACGGTTCGCCCAGGGCACAGCGGGGAAAGTGGGGAGGACCGGGATCTCTGAGCTGAGCACCTCTCGTGACGTCGGGGCCCTGGTCACAGGCCTCCAGGGGTGGTGCCTGGGAGGTCCGTTTGCTCTCTGCCCTGCAGGTGAGTCCCCAGGCCAGCTGGAGGGGGGCACCGGCCAGGGTGGCCCGGGGGCGGGGCGAGGAAAGACTCCTCCAGCCCGGCGAGGAGGGGCCTGCACTGGGGCCACCCCCGAGCCAGCCTGCGGGGAGGAGGCCAGCACACCTGCTGGGAGAGGCCCCCGAGACAGGCGGCCACAAACCGGGGACTTCAGACAGCGGGAGTTCGTTCTCCCGCAAGTCTGGAGCCCGGAAGGTGGATCTAGGTGTCAGCAGGTCGCACACGCTCCCAGGGGCTCCGGGGAGGGTCCTGTCCCGCCTCTCCCAGCTCCTGGAGCGCCAGGTGACCTAGACGCAGGGCGCCAGCCTCCCCCTGGTCCTGGCCGTGATCTTTGATTGATCACATCTGCAAAGACCCTTTTCCAAATAAGGTCCTGGGTAGGACCTGGGCGTCTCTTCCGGAGGCCCCCACTCCACCCCGCAGCGCCTCTCATCTGATGAGAAAGGGTTCTCCATCTGTCTGTGTCCGCACCGTGGCCAGGGCAGAGGCGGGGTGCCCTGCCCACCGCAGACGCCCGGCGGTGCCATCTGGAAGGGCCGTTGGGCTTGGCTGTGGCCGTGCGGGCTCCTGTCCCCTTCAGCGTCCCCTTCCCAGGCAGGGCCCCTCCCCCGTGCCGAGGGTCCCCGGGACTCAGGGTTTGTTGTCAGACCGAACCCCGAACCCTTTCCACCCTGAGCTGGGGGGGGGGTGGTCCCAAGCAAATCTCACGCTCAGTTCTCCGAGCTCAACTCTTCTCATCAAAGAGTCGGGTGCTAGGACGTGCTCACGGCAACTAAAGCGCCAGGTGGGAGCCCGTCCCTGCAGCACACGCACCGTGGGGCCTCGGGCTCCCAGGCGTTTGCAGAGAGGCCCCGCCAGGCAGGTGGGTGGGCAGAGCGGGGTGTCGGGCCTGAGCACTGTGGCTGTGCCCCGCGGTGGGACCCTGTTCTTCCCAACTGCTGTGTGATGCTGGCCTCCAGGGATGGCATCTCTGATGTACGGGATGGAGTCCTAACGTTCTGCCCTCATTGATACTATTTTTGTCGTAAAAGGTGGAGTTTCTTGTTCCCTGCTTGGCTAGATGGAGATCCCTTCCTGCCTTTTTGGTTGTCCCTGTGTCTCAGCATGGGTCTCACCGCCTCCAGGGTGGCCTCCCTGAGGCCCGGCCCCTCCCCCCAGCTGCAAGTCCCCGCGGGCCGGGCCGGGTGCTGCTGTCTCCCTGGCCGGCCTGGCGGGGCCACACTCCCTCCAGGGCTACAGTCTCTCTGCCCGGCCTGGATGTGCCACCAGAGAACCACGGACGCCCTTCAGGCCTTCGCTGAAGCTCTGTGGATCCCCTGCTCTTTGTTCAGAAAGATGTTTTATTCTCTTTCCAGTATTAATGTTTTTATTCCCTTCTCCCCATTGTAACCAGAAGGAGTCTTCTAATTGGTACCAGAACTTGACCTATTTCTTGCAGGGGAGAAAAAAAAAAAGCAAACACCTAATCATTAAATGCAATTATTACTTCATTCTTCTATCTCTTCAACCTGCCAAACTATTATATACTCTTGATTATGGAAACTTTAGTCAAAACAAGAACTGAAGAAAAATTTATGCAGAATTCCGTAACACCTACACGTTAAAGGTCTTCGTGTTTTTAAGTTCTTTTAGTCCTGGTCCATACACACATACGATTCCCCCACATTAAACACCACTTTGTGTCGGATCTTTTCGCACGTGATTCTCGAAAATAAGTTGTTCTTTTATTTTGCCTGTATAATCTTTTATGATCCGCTGTCGTCTTTGAAAGATGTCATGAAATATCAAAGACAAAAGCATTTATTGTTTAAAGTCTATCGCATAAAAGCAGTTTACAGAGGGGTTTTCTACCGAAGACAGCACAGAAAGTCCACGCCTGCGTGTAATAAAGCCCTTGCTCCACACTCTTGAACGAGGACGTACATAGAGACAGAGGAAACCCAGAAAACCAGCGGGTCAGAGCTCCAGAAAACAGGACACAGCCACGTCGTCTCCTGTCCCAGGAGCCGGGGAGGGAAAGGTCCTGCTGGGGCAGAGTGGTTGACGCGCAGGGGCCGTGCCCTCCTGGAGTCCACAGCGCAGGCCGCAGTGGCAGCTGCTCCTGCCGCCCAGTGGTGACCAGAGCAACCCCAGCCTGGAGGTGAAGGGGAGAGGGCGGTCAACACCTGCAGCCCAGAGGTGAGGGGACCCAGGAGAGAGGAGGCCAGGCGACCCTGCTCTAAAATCCAGGGGCTAAAAGTTTGAGCCCTTTTCGGGGGGGGAGGCTGGACGGACCCGATCGAGCACGCCCTGCTGGCTTCAATGGACAAGTGACTCCAACGTAGAGGTCACGTGTCCTGTGAAGGACACGCGGATCGGAACTCAGTCCGCGGGATGGAGGGTGGGCGGGCGGGCCCGCTGTTCCTTAGTCAAGACGCAGAGGGAAAGGAAGGAGAGAGAGGAGACCAGAATAAACGAGCACCAACACAACGACGCTCGACTAAATTTATATAATGCTCTCACCGACATAAAAAAAAGTCGTTTGCAAGTGAAAGATAATGTTACTCAGCTGATTTAATTATTATACGTGTTACTATCCATAAAATTTTGGTTATCAGGTATAATAAACGATCATATATCTTTTATATACTGATTCAATAGTGTTATACTATGATCATGTGTCTATATAAAGATCATAAATCTTTATATTCCATAAAATCCGTAAAGATCTGCGTTTTTACCCCACATAAATACTGTACAACTATAGATTCATTGATTTACAATTAAAAATAAAGTATATTCTTGAAAAGAAAAGGAAGCGAGGGAGGGAGGGAGGGAGGGAGGGAGGAGGGAGGGAGGAGGGAAGGAGAAGGAAGGAAGGAAGGAAGGAAGGAAGGCATAGAGGAAGGAAGGAAGGAACGGAAGGAAGGAAGGAAAGGCAAGGAAGAAGGAAGGCGAGAGAAACACCCCTGAAAAGCCTCTCTGACTCCAGGTTTGGCTTGGCGAGATTCAAAACTTGAAAAACGCATAAACACAAATATCACAGAAATATAACCAGCAGAATAAACTCATTGACTATAACATTGAGTCTTAGGTGAAACTCATTCATGTTCTTTACTATGAAGACAGAGGCTTCAAAATAAGCATGTCTGAAGGTGTTTAAAGAGAGAATTGAAGGTAACAATTACCATTTACAAATTAATAAAAGCAATTGAAAACAGACAAATGCAATAACTTTCTTTTGTGAGCAAAGGTAAAGCTAATTGCAAGACATCCTTAAAACATGAATTAAAAAAGAGTCATTGCAAACAAATGTTCTTAAACAATCGGTATGTGGTCGGAACTCTAGCCTGCCCTGAATAACATCAAAGGGAGATATGGAATGTGGCAAATTTATCCAAAATACAACATCAATTTCACCAGACGCTGAAAATGAGCCTGTGGTCAAAAGGACACCAGGTAACCCAAAGACACAAAGATCTACCATGCCAAGTCGGGAACCAGTTATGTACAATTGTACAGTCAGTGGTCAAAGAACTGGTGAATAATCCTTAAAAAACATTTCCAATCGATTGGGAGGTCTTTAAGGTCATGGCGCTCCCGCGATCTGAAGGATGCAATTCTGAGGAGGATTTTACAAGGACCCTATTGAGTGCTCTTAAAAATTTTCCCACTTAACTACTGGCTTCCCACTTTGTTAAGAAATTAATGTTAAAAACAAAAAAAGAAAAAAGATCTTTACAGGAGAGTGAGGACGGTGGGTACATGAGGAGTCAAGATCCATTCAGGACAGAAACTAGGGGAGCCCACGAGGTCGGAAGAGTCTTCTTAGCCCGATGGGAGGGCTTCTAGCCAGGCAAAGTAAACAGAACATAGCAGAGCTTAAAGTTCAACAGAAGACATTCTTTCTGAAAGTACAAGGAAACAAAGGCTCAGGAGCCAGCGCCTACTGTCCATCTTTAAAATTTCCATGGATTCAATCCCAGATGCAGATAAGGCACGAAAAATATGGATTCAGAAATTAAAAAAGTAAGATTTTTTTTTTTGCAGAAGATATGATTGTAACAAGAATAATCAAAGAAAACAAAACTAACCCCAGTAAGTTTTCTGGATACTACAATCCTTTTTTAAAAATCCAATAGCATTCCAAATGTAAAAGAAATAGAAAATAAACAGAAACAAATTTCCATTTTCATTGTCCCACAAAATACTATCAGGTGCCACAGATGTACCAGCCTCTCCAACAACATCATAAAATCCAAAGGGTGCACAGTCAGCCCTCTGCTTTGGAGGGATCCATATCTGAGGACTCAACCAAGCACGGGTCAAAAATATTCAGGAAAGAAAATGAGTGGTTGTGTCTGTGCTGGACATGTACATCTTGTCATTGTTCCTTTCAGCTGTAGTCTAGCAACTATTCCCATGCCATTTACGTTGTATCAGGTGTTATAAGTAATCGAGTAATAAAGTAAAGATGCTTTACAGTAGATTAGGGACGTGTAGAGATTACACGAAATTGCTACACCATTTTATACCAGGGACTTGAGCATGGAGGAGTTTGGCATGGGGCAGTCCTGCAACTAACTCCTCACGGGTAAGTGTGCTGGACACACTTACAGATGCAAAGTCTTAGCAGTGTGAACAAATCAATTTTCCCAAACTAGTCTATACATTTAATGTAATTCCATTCAGAATTCCAATAGTATTTTTCATGGAGCGTGACAAGTTTGTCATCACACAATAGAGAACAGCAAGGAATAGTCGAGTAACTGGTGAAGAAAAAGATGAGGGCTTGTCCTATCCCAGACAGAGTGCTCAGAGCACTGTGCTATGCAGACAAACCAACAGGGAGAATTAGCCCGGGATGAGCCGAGCTGTCTGAAATCAACACACGGCAGGTACTATAACCTCAGTGATAAAAATAAAGATTTTTTTTTTCTTTCAAAAAAATGGTATATGGACAATTGCTTATCAGCATGGAAAAAATTACATCATTTTATTTCGTATCATTCAAAAAACAGTATCCAGGTGGATTCAATATTAAAAAGCAAAGTTTAAAATACTTTAGAAGAAGGGACCTCTTTTGATAGCAAAATAACAGACAAAATAGCCTGTTACAATACACTTCAGAATGGTGGTGGGATAAAGTATAAAATATATGGTTTTTGAATGCTAGTCTTTACTCAAAAATAGTAAGAAAAATCTTCAGAAATAAAAAGAAATAACAATAATAGGAAAGCGTAAAAGCAGATTCTAAAGACACCGGTTGCCCATAAAGGCTTCTGCTGGTTACGGGGACGCGGTGTTTGGACTTTTGACAATTGCGTGGGACTCTGGACTATGCAGCAAATGCAAGCCCTAAACCGACTGGTGGCTCCACGGGCCAGGACCGGGCAGGGGGCGGGGAGAGGCTGGTTGGCAGACACAGGTGCACGCTGAGACAGGAGGACTAAGCCCCGACCCGGGTGCTCCATAGATCGGTGGGGTGACTGCAGCTAAGGTTTGCTGGTTGCACATTTCAGAATAGCCAGGAGAGAATTAATTTGAATGTTCCCAGAGTAAAGAGAAGATAAAAATGTAAGGTGATGGATGGTCATCCCAATTACCCCGATTTGATTATATGACTGTATCCTATCACTTGTGCCCCAAAATATGTAGCATATCGACTATGCATCCATAAAAATAAAACAACTAAATTTTGAAATGAGAGCTTAGTTAGCAAAAACTAGTTATCTCTAGAAATTAAAAGTGTCATGTCTAACATTAAAAGCCAAATGGACAGATGAAATGCCAGAGTTTGAAAAGTAAGTGACTGATCTAAAGAAATGAGCCTAAAAATCAAATATAAAGTGACACTTTAGGCTTCTTGAAGGAGTCAGAACGCTGATGAACTGGACCAGAGGATGCCACAGGACAGCTTGGATTCCGCAAAGCCCCTGGTATTGAGTTCTTGGTTCGACTCTCAGCTTGACTCTGATTATTGTGTGTTCACAATTTTTCTGACATTTTTAATTTTGAAAAAAAAAAGGTTTTACATTCTATATAGTTTTTTTTAAAAAAACCTATTATTTATCTACTGCATCCCCTTTGCATTTTTGTCATAAAATCAGTAGTCCATTTAGTGTGGGTCTGACTCTGCACTGTTTTGTTATGTGTCTCTGTTTAAATATGCTTACATTAACGCAACCCTGTCTTTATCGCTGTAGCTATAGCAATCTTTAAGTCTTAAAATCGGGTAGTGCAATGTCTTTAATTTTATTCTTCCTTTTCAAAGTGTTTGTGGGTGTTCTGCTTCTTTTATTTTGCTATATAAATTTTGGAATCAGACACACAAAAAAATCTTGCTGGCATTTTGATAGAAATTGCATATCAAACTATAGACCATTTTGGAGAGGTTAATATCATTACTATCTTGAGTCCTTCCATGAACAAAGTGTATCTATCGATTTATTTAAGCTTCTTTGATTGCTTTCATCATTATTTTATAGTTTTCGGTGTACATCATTTCACACATATTATCCCTAAGTATTTTATGTTTTTGATGTTTATATAAATGGTGTTTTAAAATTTTAATTTTTAATTATTTACAGCACACAGAAATACAATTTATTTTGTAAATGTATATTGTGTTCTGCAACCTTGTTAAACATACTCGTCAAGCAGCTTTTTTATAAAT